AAAAAAGTTTGGATTCTCTATTTTTCTCCAAAATTATTTTTATTCTAAAATTATGTCCTTTTTCTTCCTAATTCAAAACATTATTTAGACAACATTTTGACACAGTGTTGTGTAGGTACTGAATTATAAAGTAAAAGTAATATATGGAGTTGATAAAATCGTAACGTTATAAGTTTGGTTAAGTTTAATTAACTTAAACGTATATACCTACGTTATATTATTGTGTATCAGTTAACTAGAAAATATCTAAATACGCCCCTGCCGATTATGGTTCTTATGAAATAGGTTAATAATAATCATTAAAAATTTTTTATACTTCGTAAGTGGAGCAAAATGGTCAATATTTATTTTTATTTGTTGAGGAAAACAGCCTCATTTTTTTTTGAGGGGGGGGGGCAGCTACCGCCTTTTGAATGTACCTATAATTATTAGACGGAATTCAGCCATAAATATTAATAGTTACAATTTGGGGTTGGACTCCTGGATTAAAAATTCACGGAGGTTACGATTTGCTTTTCCATATTATTATTGGTAATTGAAGATTGAACAATAATCGTTTTAGGGCGACAGCGGTGGACCTCTGATGCTTCATGATAATAGTGAAAAAATAACAGTGGCAGGTGAGCTTATTACATCAGTGTTATTAGATTATACTTTATAATACCTTCCAATCTATACGACAGCCAACAGGTATTATAAATTTATATTGGTGATCATGTAAAATGATTCAATTTCTAGGAATCGTTTCGTGGGGCATTGGGTGTGGAGCTCCAAAACTCCCTGGAGTGTACACAAGGGTCGACAAATATCTAGGATGGATAATGAGAAACACAAAGGACAGTTGCCACTGTAATAACTGAGCCCAAATTCCATGACCGTTGTACACTACTGTTAACCATGTGAGTTTCATCGTTTAATTAGATAATGTTACTTATATAATATATGTCTCTAATATRATATGATTCGTTGCTTGTTGCTTGGGATACATTTTAATATGATCTAATCACAGAAAGAAAAAAGCCATTAAATATCTATCTGGAATACATATATACTTATATAAAAAATCTAAAAAAGTCGCTCTGCTAGTAGTTGGTAACACCAATAAGTATGTCAGTGTTGTAGGCAAGAATTTTATAATTTTTTTTAAATTTAATATTTTTATCATTATGCAGGATGATGTAAAACAGAACATTTTACCAAAAAATTAATTGATGCTACTTAAATGTATGAAAGTTGTATGGACGATAAATAATTTAATAAATATACATTGAAATTCCTAAAAATATTTTTAAAAACGTTTTTATATTTTAAATTAATTTATACAAAAAACATTTATTATTAAAAAAAAATTGTGGAAAATAAATAACAAAACTTCAAATTGGCTATTTTAAAATAGTTTCCCAAAAAATTTTAAAATTTTAATTTTTAGTTACTGAAAAAAAACATACCTACTATAAATATAGTGTGTTTATAAATTAATAATTATGTAAATAAAAAAAATAAGTATAATAGAACATTTTTTTAAACATTGATTATAAGAAAAATTAWTGCATTAGTCAGTTATTTTTGTTAAACCCAGACACCCTGTGTAGTGTTTTAATAGGTACAGGAATGCTGATGTGCTCAGAGAGTTTAACTTATGGTTAAGAGTATTAAAAAAACAAACATATATAGATAATCATTTTATTTTTATATATAGAGATGCATTAAGTAGGTATATCATATAAAATGTTTTTATTTTTATTCAATAATAAAAACAAAACTATGTACTCATTACCATTTAAGTATTTTTTTTTTTTTGGACAGTCAAAAAGTTAAGATCAACAATTTATAATAAATACAAAATAAAAACTAAAGATTCCTAAAAAAAGTCGTACAATTTATACAAACATTTTTTCATCACAGTTTTTTTTTCTAACTTAATAATATATATTCCATTACAAATCCGATAATTATTGTTATAGGACATTTTTCAATCAACAACCACTCAACATCACAACATTGAGAGTCTACGTCTAATTTTGTTTTTGCAATATAAATYAYTTAAGATAATACGTTTCATCAAAACACAGTTGACCCATCCTCAGTCTCTACTTTAGAATAACTAGAAGTATTTGGTCGCCTTCGGTGATTAGTACTTTGCCGCCCTTCAATTAGGAGTGCAATTATCTGAAATGAGAAAATGTTTTATGAGAATAATTTGATGAGAGAGAAAGAGAGAGGGAGGGACAACACATCTTTTATGTAAATATATTTATTTAAAATATGTATCTTATTTATTTTTGTTAGATTATGTTATATAGTGTACTATTATTGTTTTCTCATTAAATGTCCTAGCTGGTGCGTGCGATATCTTTTTTGACCATACTGTTTCACGCTTAGTGCATTTCTAGGGTGTAGCAAAATACAAGCTATTTTGTTTATCTTTGAATGCGTGCACATTAGCTAGGACACGTCATTATAATGTATTTTCAAATCATACAAAATGAGAATGTATTCAAACCAAAGATTATAATTTTAAACATTGTTTGCTTACTTTTTTCTTATTGTATAAAGCTAAATAAAACAGCATTGATAGTATAGTCATTATGCTGAAGTAGAAAAGAAAATGTGAGTCTTCTGTATCATCAAATGCGCGATTTGAAAATTTAGGCTTAGGACCTAATCTTGATACAATTTCTTTAGTCTCTGCAAAAATATAATGTGTGTATTATTTTAGTTTTAAAAACCTCAAGATACACACCAAAATTTAAAAAAAATTAATTATTACAATTATTTTGATTAACAATATAAAATACTTCATTTACATTTTTTATTAAGTATAATTTAAGAACTGTGGTAATACATAGGTATAATGTCTAAATACATACATATATATGTATATAATGAAAAAATATAAGATAATAATTTTTTATTGAAACTGTTAAATTAACAAAATAAAATTCTATTGATATAGATATATAGATATTATCTACTCATTGCAACTATGATTCAAGTATATTGCTATAAACTGAGGTATAGTATATAACAAAATGTTACATTTATTTAAAAGTTTAATAATGTGGTGAAAATAATCACAAATTAGTCATTATTTTAGTTTCATGAAATGGTACAATAAACACAAATTTTTATGCGCACCTATATTCTTTATAAATATGAAAAAAATATAAATGTTTAGTTTGGAAATTAAAAAAAAAAATTTAATTTACCTGATTGGTTAATTGTACCATCACTCTCTTTAGGATAATCATCACTAGATTCTAAAAGAAATAGCACATGTATAATATTAAATACTACATTAAGTCTGAGATGGTTTAATAGTTGTGGATATTAAATAGGTACTCACTTGAATCCAGTTTAGAATCGATTGGAGTTTGGGCATCTATTTCTTCAATTTGCTTTTCATCTTCAGTGGTAGTTTCATCGTCTTCAATGTTAGCATTATCAACTTTAGGTATTTCTGCTGGAAGTTCTTCATCATTATTACTATCCTTATTGTTTATTACAACTGATTTTTGATTAATGTCTGCCTAAATAATATTTTAACCAGTTATTGAATAAGTCCTAAGAATTAGTTGAATTAATCTAAATATAATATTATATTCATATAAAATTGTGTTAACATTAGAGTATTTAAGAAAAAAGTGATATTAAGTATTGTTGTTTGAATGTCTAACATAGTAAACTAAAAAAATCATTATTATCAACACAAAAATTATAATTCTACAGAGGCCAGATTTAAAGGAGGACTGAGTGGGTTGCAGCCCAGAATCCCCACAATTTTATGATATTTAAATTAGGATACAAAAAAAAATATTTTATTCATATTTACACATATTTAATTAAATAATATTGAACTTTATTTGGACATTTAAAAAATTTAATTTAAAAAAACAAATAATAGATGTATTAGCGTTTATTGACAATGAACAGTGTCTAAGAATCTTAGATAAGATAGGTTTTTATGCCGTCCGTAATCCTTGTACACCAATGATTGTAATAATATAAGTAAATATGTTTCTAAATAGTAAATATACACTTGTGGTTCAAGAATTATGCCTCAAAATGTCGTAGTAAACATGATGCTTAACGACAATAATTCCCCGTCAGAATTATGAGATTAGTTTTTGGAAATATCATAAAATACACATTACATACTATCCATCTATGGGCAAATTGTCGTTATTTGTTTGTTACACTTATTGTAAGTCAGATGTTGTAAATATTAGTTGTGTATACCTACAATAGTTATAGACTCTAGTAGTCTAGTTGTTACTTATATTATAAGTTATTAACCACTAAATAGTGTTTTAATTTAAAAATGGAAGAAGATAGTCAATTAAAGTGATTTTATATGAGTGGTGCATTATGTGGTAAAAATGAAATTGCCTAAAAATGGCAACTACAGTGAAAATTCTTTATAACGAAACTTGTTACAACGAAAAACTCTATATTACATAAATAACATAAAGTCAACTTATAATCGTTGGTTTAATTTAAAACCTATTAATTACTCTCTATTACGAAAACTCTCAATAACGAAAGAAATCACATGGTCCCTTTAGATTCGTTATAGAGAGTTTTCACTGTATCATGGAATTCTAGAGTTGTTAGCCGAGTTTAAAAATTTTTTTAATCAGCATATTGAAAATCATGTAAATCGTGGAAGTGGGTACACTAACTATTTACCTTTTACCTCGTCTTCTACTATCTGTGAAGAATTAATAGAAATAATGAGAGATAATATTTTGAATGAAATAATTTCTTCTATAAAACTATGTAAATATTTTTCAATTTCATTCGATTTGACACCTGATAAAGGTCATATAGATCAATTGACGTTAGTTTTTCGATATATTGTAAGAGATACACCACTGGAAAGATTTTTAGTTTTTACGCCAAACCAAGGCCATAAAGCTCAAGAGTGGGAAATATAAAATTATTTTAAATTTCTCTAATCAAAAATTCTGGAAAATAATAAACTAGCTTCCTGGATTCCATGTGTTACCCATTTATTTAATTTGATAGGAAAAGCAGCAGCCGAGTATTGTGCTGCTGCTGTTGAATTTTTTGATTTTTTAGAGCAGTTGTATGTATTTTTTACGGCATCAAAAAAACACTATGAATTACTGGTTAAAGCTCTAAGTTTAGAAAATACCAAAATTCTTATCCATGTACCACAACAAATTAATACTACAAGCTGGTCATGTAGATCTGATTTAACAAAATCTCTTATGCTAAGCTATAAACAATTTTAAAATGTACTCTAATTCAAATAACTGATGACTCTGAACAAACAAAAAAAAAACGTGCTGCGATGCGAATTGTTTATACAACAAATTGTGCACATTATTACGTTGTAATATGTATAATATGTGTATGTAAATAATGTATATAATAATTTTTCCTAAACATGTAAACTGTGTCAGCCAATGGCCTCCGCTGCCGAGGTTTATTTTCTAATAAAAAAAAATAAAAAATTGTGCACGCTTGAAACTGGAATTTACAAGGTTTTATTGGAATAATGTCCTTGAAAGAGTAGATAGCACTAATAAATTATTGTAAGATCTGACTTTAGAYCTTAACACTGCAATTTCTGCTATTAAGTCTTTAAAGAATTTCGTTCAAGCTAAACGTGATAACTTTGATCAATTAAAAAAACAAGGATCAGACATTTTGCAAACAATAGATTATTTGAAATATCGTAAACGGCAAAGGAATATTCGTTTAAATCCAATAGATTCTCATGAAACACCAAGGTAGATTTAACTTCTTCTCAAAAATTCAAATTTTTTTATCTGTAATTGATATGTTTATTTCAAACTTGGATAAATGATTGGCTACTTATGAATTGGTATACCAACGATTTGGCTTTCTTCGAAAAATAGAACTAAGTAATCGAGAAATTGAAAAAGAAGCAATTAAACTTGTTAAAATTTATCAAGATGATATCAATGAACGCTTTGGAAATTAACTTATTTATTTTAAAGAATTTTATTAACATTTTAAAGATGAAAGCAGTGAATTTCAAAATTTTARTAGAGAACATTTAATGAATAAAATATTTATTGATAAGGAAGTAAAAGATTGTTTTCCCAATGTTGAAATAGTTCTTTATATTTATCTTGTTTTTATGATTACAAACAGCAGTAGTGAAGGATCATTCTCTAATTTAAAGTACATACAAAATAGATTGTATACTTCTATGGATGGAGACTCAATTAACTAGCAATAATGAGCTCTGGGTCTGATATTCTAAGAAAACTTTATTTTCAAAACGTTTTTAATAAGTTTGTAGAAATTAAATTAAGAAAATTCCAGTCATTTAATTTTAATTACTTGACATTATTATTCTTTATTTAATAACTTACACCTAATATTATGATAATATTACTCATACTAGTTATACTCAATTAAATTTTTTTTATAATTATTTATCATTAAATAAGTGGTTAATTGTTACAGCTACTAAATATGATAATAAATGTTATTTAACAAGTAAAAAAATATATTTTCTTGTTTATGTGTAAGGGGCCCACACAATGCATTCCGCCCAGAGGTCACCACATACCTAAATCTGTCCCTGCATTCCACACAATATAATTCCTAAATAAACAGTTAAAATCTATATATTTTAATAGCACATCCATATAGGTGTAACGTAAATTAATTAGATTTTAAAAGTAGTAACAATATGTATTATAAACCATACCTTTTGATAAAGAAATGTAATAAGATAGGTATAGTTATTTTAATTTTTTAACAGACATTTAAAAATAATATTATACTTACGTTTATCATATTTTCAGGAGATTTATCAACTTTAATTTGAGGTAGGTCCTCAGTTTTTTTTGGCTCTTCAATAACAGCACTAGTAAGAACTGGTTCTTTAAGGTTTATTGACGGATTGTCAATATTTTCTTTTAAAGCTAAAAACAAATATTTAAATACAGAATGAGATTAGATTGTGTATATGAGCGTAAAATTACTTACATGGTCTAGACTTCTCCAAACGGGTATTTTTTAATAGTAACACCTCTACATTTAAAAATTTACAGTACGTATGTAATTCATTGTTCAAATTATAACACACCTTATTCCATTTGGTTATATTGTCCAATGGGTCCATAAGTAATTTCATTGGTTGTGAGAATTCAGTTACATTTTTCCACAAACCATACATGGTTTCGTCTTTAAACTTGTGTTTATTAGTAATGTTTTTTGCTATTTCTAAGTCAATGTCATTYACAAGACTGTATTTAATTTCATTACTAATGTTGTAAATGACTGTACAAAAACACTTAAAAGCATATTCAGTTTCCACAGTTTTAAAATTGTTGACATCTAGTAACGGGAAATTGCAAAGATTGTCCAGTCCTAAGTCTTTGAAATAGTTTAACAGACCAAATTTGGTGGACTTGTCAGCAGATGACATCATGAGTTGACTGACGGTGTTCTCTTTCGGTGCTGTCGACACATTCTCTAATTGCAATAAGACGACGATCAGTCCGGCGAGTATCAACCGTCTCTCAACTTTGATCATATTAATGTTTCGATATTATTTTTTGTTTTATCGTTCTGYCCGAACGCGCTCAATCTCACATTATAAAGTGCGCACAGTTTTGAAAAGTTGAACTAGTGGCAAATACAAACGGAAATTGAGGATGACAAGTTTGTMGGTACACTCAGCGAATCCAAAGTCAACTAGTAATAATTATATTCCAAGTCGAGTAGTGCGTCATAAAATTTCAAGTGGAAAAACTATACAAACATTAAAAACTGATACCTAATGAATTTGTAAATATTTCAAAAGTACAAAACAGTAAACTCGAATGTCGAATCGTCGAATAAATTATGCAGAATAAAAATCTTATATCATTCGATTTGAAGCTACCCAACTATATTATTATTATTATTATACTCAAGTCGGTGCCCGTTGTGCCTGTTATCAGAATTTACTTTTGTTCTTATGTTCATACCGGTAAACATAACCTCAAAATGTCAGATCGAGTAAAACTCTTAGATAGGTCTATCTGGATTCTGGGTATATTGTTTAATATAATAATACTATAATAGTATAATAGCAATAGGTACAACTCAATGTCTAACTAGTAACAGTAGTAACTAGTGAGTATCCATATTTCGTCTTTCGACAATAACAATCAACAGAAACACTAAAAGCTGAAACCTGAAAAGTAAAAAATCTAAAAACTTCGAACATATAAACCAAGACCCAAGAGTTAAACAGAATACAAAAGTCAGTAACCCATAACTGTAATGTCTGTAATTTTTAATATTTAATATTGATTAAGTTATTATTTAGTATAGAAAAATAATTGTTGACTGGTTAGTCAAATTTTAAACAAAAACTGTTCAACGATCAATATGGTAAAGCGCAAGAGCGAAATCGCTCTGGCTGACGCCGAACAGAATAAATCGGTCAGAGAAAAGTATTTCAAGACCGACAAAGTAAGTTATGAAATTCTTTGTACCTTTAAAAATTAAAGCTTGATATGTAGCTATGTCGATTTTGATTTTATTTGCTGCTTCTTTTGCTGCAGAGCAATGTTCGCACGTCCAGTCTTTTTATGCCCATTATGGCCCTGGAAGGTCATGAAGGTGATATATTCGCGACAAAATTTCATCCTGAAGGGGAATATCTGGCGTCATCAGGGTACGACAGAAAGATTTGTAAGTATAGGTTTTTCATGGCACTTCGTAGATATTATCTGATATATGTAAGATTATTTAAATTGAGTTAACWTATTCCAGTCATATGGAGCGTGTATGGTGAATGTGAAAATTTGGGCGTTCTCGCTGGCCATTCTGGAGCTRTTTTAGATATGAAATTCTCCACTGATGGTACTTTAATATATACAAGTAGTACTGATATGACGGTTTCTTTCTGGGATATTTACAAGGGCCAGAGAGTCAAGAAACTTAAAGGTATATTATAATATTCATAGTTGTTAATGATTACTATTAAGAGTAGATACTGAATTCAGGAATGTTTGTCATTTTTATTGGTATTTAGAGATAACTTAATGCATTTGTTGAAAAATTCACTAACTATTAACTGAGTGATATAAGTTTAAATAAGAGAAGTCACTTTTCAAAAATACATTTCAAATTGTTATTGTACTACTTTATGTAGCCAAACTTTAGACAAATGCCTTACTATTAATAATTTATTGTTTCATTTTATTGTTTAATTATCAAAGTAAAAATAATAAAAATGTGTTAATATCAAATTATATTATGTAGGTTTTTAGTTTTATCTTATGTTTTTTTCTTCCCATACGTTTATYCATATTTTCTTTATTTAATGAATTRTAAAAAATTTTCTTTAACTAAATTTGTTTTTGTAGGACACACTGGGTTTGTTAATTCCTGYGACTCTGCAAGACGTGGACCTCAAATGATCACAAGTGCTTCAGACGATTGCACCATTAAAGTATGGGATCCTAGAAAACGAGGAGGTGATGCAGTTACTACTTTCAATAATAATTATCAAGTGATGTCCGTATGTTTTAATGATACATCTGATCAAGTCATAACTGGTGGTCTAGATAATGAAATTAAAGTAATTTGTTGTTTAAATATCATAGTTTATTATTTTTAAATCTTACTAACAGTAGTTTGAACATTACTACTCAAATATTTTATAGTATATTAGTATTACTAATATTATTTAATATAATTGTGTATGCTAGATTTGGGATTTACGTAAAAATGCATTACTTCATCGCTTACCTGGCCATACAGATACAGTGACTGGACTAGAATTGTCACCCGATGGCTGTTATTTATTGTCTAATGCAATGGATAACAGCTTAAGAATATGGGATGTGAGACCTTATGCACCTGCTGACAGATGTTTGAAAGTCTTCTCAGGACATACCCATAATTTTGAAAAGGTACTGTTATTGTTCATAGTTATAATTGTTTAATTCATATATTATTTTATACTTATTTGATTTGAATTTTTTTTCTACTTTTTGTTATTAGAACTTATTGCGGTGTGCGTGGTCACCAGACGGCTCAAAAGTGTCAGCGGGTTCAGCTGATAGATATGTGTATATTTGGGATGCCAACACTCGTAGAATATTGTACAAGTTACCAGGTCATAATGGAAGTGTAAATGATGTGGATTTCCATCCAAAAGAACCGATTAGTAAGTAAAATTATTAAGATTTAAAACCATACACTGTCTTCTAAGAAAGTAATAGCACAGAATATCACTGTGGAATTAAGCAATATATTTTAAATAAAGTTAGTTGTTAAATAATAAATTTAATTTTTTCAGTTATGTCTGGATCCAGTGACAAAGTTGTATACCTCGGCGAGTTTGACTGAATCCATTTAAATCCGAACGGATACTAATTTAATTTTAAATTTATGTTAAGGTATTTAGCTTTTTCATTATTTTGTAAT